AGGGGGATTGATATTGTTCTTCATAAATGAGAACGACTTAGCTTGCTGCCCGCAAGTGAACATTTCGTTCGGGAACGGCATTTCAGCTAGCGCCCTTTTAGACACAGGAAGCGAGGCGAACATCTTGACCGAGAAGCTTTATAATCAGCTGATAAGGGCAGGGATAGCTGTGCCCACGCTGCCGCTAGAAAATGTAGCACTAGTCACGGCATTTGGCAGGAGGAAAAAGAGGATTAAGAAGCAGGCGTTCATAGAATTTGTTGTAGGCGAGGATAGGTTTGAGGCTATTTTCTTAATATCTCCACGGTTAATTAATTCGGCCATATTAGGCTCATCATTCGCTAAGGAATATGGGATCACTATTGATTTCGTTACTAAATGTTTTTACTATGAGAGAGATGGAAGTAGGAAGGGACATTCGTTCGATCAAAGTTCCGGGCCATTGGACGCCAGAAATGATGAGCGGGAGTCGAAGGAAGATCCTTCCCATAAATGTTTTGGTGTCACCCATGACCTGAAAACCCCAGCTGTAGGCAATGACCCATTTCACCCAGCTGTTAAAGCCAGCTGTGACGCAACCCAGACAGAAGCAGGTAGAAAGGGAAAAGAATGTCTTGTTGAGGAAGAAAGTTGTATTTTGAATTGTGCTACCGTGAATGGTAGTTATGTAGGGCAGAGGACCCTGTTAAATGGCGCCGCGGGCGACCAAGAGTTATTAGTAGATGGAGAAGTGTATGAAGAAGAGTGTCCGAGGGAGATTTATGGCAGCCTGGTTGAGAGCCTATGCGAAGAAGAAACGGCTGGCCTTAAGGAAGTTAATGTAAGAAGAACAGAGAATAACCTGCTCCACCCCACCCCTATCCAAACGTCAGAACTCGACCTCCATGACTCACGCTCGTTGAAGAAGGCGGATTTGTGTGCCCTGATCGACACGAATGACAATATGAATGTATCCCAGAAAGAATGCTTGATCGAGTTATTTAGTAGTTATATGAAATGTTTCACGGTCAGACCTGGCAGGTGTAACATTTTTGAGTATAGATTTCAGGTAGACGAAGCTAAACCCATAGTAGGATATTCTCGCCCCATCCCGTTTGCTGTCCGCCCCGCCGTTCGAGACCAGATTAGGCAAATGCTGCAGGATGGCATTTTGGAATTTAGTAATTCACCCTTCCTTAACCCTTTGTCTGTGGTTCATAAGGGAAATAAGAAAATTAGAATTTGT